AACCTGACCTCCAGAACCTGACCTCCAGAACCTGACCTCCAGAACCTGACCTCCAGAACCTGACCTCCAGAACCTGACCTCCAGAACCTGACCTCCAGAACCTGACCTCCAGAACCTGACCTCCAGAACCTGACCTCCAGAACCTGACCTCCAGAACCTGACCTCCAGAACCTGACCTCCAGAACCTGACCTCCAGAACCTGACCTCCAGAACCTGACCTCCAGAACCTGACCTCCAGAACCTGACCTCCAGAACCTGACCTCCAGAACCTGACCTCCAGAACCTGACCTCCAGAACCTGACCTCCAGAACTTACCTCCAGAACCTGACCTCCAGAACCTGACCTCCAGAACCGGACCTCCAGAACTTACCTCCAGAACCTGACCTCCAGAACCTGACCTCCAGAACCTGACCTCCAGAACCTGACCTCCAGAACCTGACCTCCAGAACCTGACCTCCAGAACTTACCTCCAGAACCTGACCTCCAGAACCTGACCTCCAGAACTTACCTCCAGAACTTGTCTCCAGAACCTGACCTCCAGAACCTGACCTCCAGAACCTGACCTCCAGAACCTGACCTCCAGAACCTGACCTCCAGAACTTACCTCCAGAACCTGACCTCCAGAACCTGACCTCCAGAACTTACCTCCAGAACCTGACCTCCAGAACCTGACCTCCAGAACCGGACCTCCAGAACTTACCTCCAGAACCTGACCTCCAGAACCTGACCTCCAGAACCTGACCTCCAGAACCTGACCTCCAGAACCTGACCTCCAGAACCTGACCTCCAGAACTTACCTCCAGAACCTGACCTCCAGAACCTGACCTCCAGAACCGGACCTCCAGAACTTACCTCCAGAACCTGACCTCCAGAACTTACCTCCAGAACTTGTCTCCAGAACCTGACCTCCAGAACCGGACCTCCAGAACTTACCTCCAGAACCTGACCTCCAGAACCTGACCTCCAGAACCAGACCTTCAGAACTTACCTCCAGAACCTGACCTCCAGAACCTGACCTCCAGAACCTGACCTCCAGAACCTGACCTCCAGAACCTGACCTCCAGAACCTGACCTCCAGAGCCTGACCTCCAGAACTTACCTCCAGAACCTGACCTCCAGAACCTGACCTCCAGAACTTACCTCCAGAACTTACCTCCAGAACCTGACCTCCAGAACCTGACCTCCAGAACCTGACCTCCAGAACCTGACCTCCAGAACCTGACCTCCAGAACCTGACCTCCAGAACCTGACCTCCAGAACCTGACCTCCAGAACCTGACCTTCAGAACCTGACCTCCAGAACTTACCTCCAGAACCTGACCTCCAGAACCTGACCTCCAGAACCTGACCTCCAGAACTTACCTCCAGAACTTACCTCCAGAACCTGACCTCCAGAACCTGACCTCCAGAACCTGACCTCCAGAACCTGACCTCCAGAACTTACCTCCAGAACCTGACCTCCAGAACCTGACCTCCAGAACCTGACCTCCAGAACCTGACCTCCAGAACCTGACCTCCAGAACCTGACCTCCAGAACTTACCTCCAGAACTTACCTCCAGAACTAACCTCCAGAACCTGACCTCCAGAACCTGACCTCCAGAACCTGACCTCCAGAACCTGACCTCCAGAACCTGACCTCCAGAACCTGACCTCCAGAACCTGACCTCCAGAACCTGACCTCCAGAACCTGACCTCCAGAACCTGACCTCCAGAACCTGACCTCCAGAACCTGACCTCCAGAACCTGACCTCCAGAACCTGACCTCCAGAACCTGACCTCCAGAACCTGACCTCCAGAACTTACCTCCAGAACCTGACCTCCAGAACCTGACCTCCAGAACCGGACCTCCAGAACTTACCTCCAGAACCTGACCTCCAGAACCTGACCTCCAGAACCTGACCTCCAGAACCTGACCTCCAGAACCTGACCTCCAGAACCTGACCTCCAGAACCTGACCTCCAGAACTTACCTCCAGAACCTGACCTCCAGAACCTGACCTCCAGAACCGGACCTCCAGAACTTACCTCCAGAACCTGACCTCCAGAACCTGACCTCCAGAACTTACCTCCAGAACTTACCTCCAGAACCTGACCTCCAGAACCTGACCTCCAGAACCTGACCTCCAGAACCTGACCTCCAGAACCTGACCTCCAGAACCTGACCTCCAGAACCTGACCTCCAGAACTTACCTCCAGAACCGGACCTCCAGAACTTACCTCCAGAACCTGACCTCCAGAACCTGACCTCCAGAACCTGACCTCCAGAACCTGACCTCCAGAACCTGACCTCCAGAACCTGACCTCCAGAACCTGACCTCCAGAACCTGACCTCCAGAACCTGACCTCCAGAACCTGACCTCCAGAACCTGACCTCCAGAACCTGACCTCCAGAACTTACCTCCAGAACCGGACCTCCAGAACTTACCTCCAGAACCTGACCTCCAGAACCTGACCTCCAGAACCTGACCTCCAGAACCTGACCTCCAGAACCTGACCTCCAGAACCTGACCTCCAGAACCTGACCTCCAGAACCTGACCTCCAGAACCTGACCTCCAGAACCTGACCTCCAGAACCTGACCTCCAGAACTTACCTCCAGAACCTGACCTCCAGAACCTGACCTCCAGAACCTGACCTCCAGAACCTGACCTCCAGAACCTGACCTCCAGAACCTGACCTCCAGAACCTGACCTCCAGAACCTGACCTCCAGAACCTGACCTCCAGAACCTGACCTCCAGAACCTGACCTCCAGAACCTGACCTCCAGAACCTGACCTCCAGAACCTGACCTCCAGAACTTACCTCCAGAACCTGACCTCCAGAACCTGACCTCCAGAACCGGACCTCCAGAACTTACCTCCAGAACCTGACCTCCAGAACCTGACCTCCAGAACCTGACCTCCAGAACCTGACCTCCAGAACCTGACCTCCAGAACCTGACCTCCAGAACCTGACCTCCAGAACCTGACCTCCAGAACCTGACCTCCAGAACTTACCTCCAGAACCTGACCTCCAGAACTTACCTCCAGAACCTGACCTCCAGAACCTGACCTCCAGAACCTGACCTCCAGAACTTACCTCCAGAACTTGTCTCCAGAACCTGACCTCCAGAACCTGACCTCCAGAACCTGACCTCCAGAACCTGACCTCCAGAACCTGACCTCCAGAACTTACCTCCAGAACCTGACCTCCAGAACCTGACCTCCAGAACCTGACCTCCAGAACCTGACCTCCAGAACCTGACCTCCAGAACCTGACCTCCAGAACCTGACCTCCAGAACCTGACCTCCAGAACCTGACCTCCAGAACCTGACCTCCAGAACCTGACCTCCAGAACCTGACCTCCAGAACCTGACCTCCAGAACTTACCTCCAGAACCTGACCTCCAGAACCTGACCTCCAGAACCGGACCTCCAGAACTTACCTCCAGAACCTGACCTCCAGAACCTGACCTCCAGAACCTGACCTCCAGAACCTGACCTCCAGAACCTGACCTCCAGAACCTGACCTCCAGAACCTGACCTCCAGAACCTGACCTCCAGAACCTGACCTCCAGAACTTACCTCCAGAGCCTGACCTCCAGAACTTACCTCCAGAACCTGACCTCCAGAACCTGACCTCCAGAACCTGACCTCCAGAACTTACCTCCAGAACTTGTCTCCAGAACCTGACCTCCAGAACCTGACCTCCAGAACCTGACCTCCAGAACCTGACCTCCAGAACCTGACCTCCAGAACTTACCTCCAGAACCTGACCTCCAGAACCTGACCTCCAGAACCTGACCTCCAGAACCTGACCTCCAGAACTTACCTCCAGAACCTGACCTCCAGAACCTGACCTCCAGAACCTGACCTCCAGAACTTACCTCCAGAACCTGACCTCCAGAACCGGACCTCCAGAACTTACCTCCAGAACCTGACCTCCAGAACCTGACCTCCAGAACCTGACCTCCAGTACCTGACCTCCAGAACCGGACCTCCAGAACTTACCTCCAGAACCTGACCTCCAGAACCTGACCTCCTGAACTTACCTCCAGAACCTGACCTCCAGAACCTGACCTCCAGAACCTGACCTCCAGAACCTGACCTCCAGAACCTGACCTCCAGAACCGGACCTCCAGAACTTACCTCCAGAACCGGACCTCCAGAACTTACCTCCAGAACCTGACCTCCAGAACCTGACCTCCAGAACCGGACCTCCAGAACTTACCTCCAGAACCTGACCTCCAGAACCTGACCATTAGAACCTGACCTCCAGAACTGGACCTCCAGTCGCTACCTCCAGTCCGTACTTACCTCCAGTCCCTACTTACCTCCAGTCCCTACTTACCTCCAGTCCCTACCTACCTCCAGGTACAGGTATCCCTCTCCCTCCGGTACTGCCCTACAGCCCTATTGCCCTACAGCCCTATTGCCCTACAGCCCTATTGCCCTACAGAACTATTGCCCTACAGCCCTATTGCCCTACAGCCCTATTGCCCTGCAGCCCTATTGCCCTACAGCCCTATTGCCCTGCAGCCCTATTGCCCTACAGCCCTATTGCCCTACAGCCCTATTGCCCTACAGCCCTATTGCCCTACAGCCCTATTGCCCTACAGCCCTATTGCCCTACAGCCCTATTGCCCTGCAGCCCTATTGCCCTGCAGCCCTATTGCCCTACAGCCCTATTGCCCTACAGCCCTATTGCCCTACAGCCCTATTGCCCTACAGCCCTATTGCCCTACAGCCCTATTGCCCTACAGCCCTATTGCCCTACAGGTACAGGTATCCCTCTCCCTCCGGTACTGCCCTACAGCCCCATTGCCCTTGATAGCTCTTCGGTGGCATACCGAGCTTCAGCGCATGGCGTTGGCATCAATTGAATGGTGATAGCTGGCAGCTGCTTTCCCCAGAGCTGCTGAGATGGTAGCTGGCAGCCTTAGGTCCTGAAGCAGGCAGGAGTTTTTGAGCTTGATTAATTAAGAGCTTCATCTCCACCCTGCCATGCTTCCCGTCCGCATCAGGTGTTGGTGACGGCAGTGGTGGTGGGAGTGAGTGTGGCGCTGCTAGCATCGGTGTCAGGCCCGGCTGCTCTCGTCATTGGCAGCGGCCTCGCCCTCTCTTCTACTGCTGTCGTGCTCCAGGTCAGTTCACCTCAATGTTCATCGTGGAGTGCTCCAGGTCAGTTCACCTCAATGTTCATCGTGGAGTGCTCCAGGTCAGTTCACCTCAATGTTCATCGTGGAGTGCTCCAGGTCAGTTCACCTCAATGTTCATCGTGGAGTGCTCCAGGTCAGTTCACCTCAATGTTCATCGTGGAGTGCTCCAGGTCAGTTCACCTCAATGTTCATCGTGGAGTGCTCCAGGTCAGTTCACCTCAATGTTCATCGTGGAGTGCTCCAGGTCAGTTCACCTCAATGTTCATCGTGGAGTGCTCCAGGTCAGTTCACCTCAATGTTCATCGTGGAGTGCTCCAGGTCAGTTCACCTCAATGTTCATCGTGGAGTGCTCCAGGTCAGTTCACCTCAATGTTCATCGTGGAGTGCTCCAGGTCAGTTCACCTCAATGTTCATCGTGGAGTGCTCCAGGTCAGTTCACCTCAATGTTCATCGTGGAGTGCTCCAGGTCAGTTCACCTCAATGTTCATCGTGGAGTGCTCCAGGTCAGTTCACCTCACCCTGAGCTCCAGTCAGTGAGCTCCAGTCAGTGAGCTCCAGTCAGTGAGCTCCAGTCAGTGAGCTCCAGTCAGTGAGCTCCAGTCAGTGAGCTCCAGTCAGTGAGCTCCAGTCAGTGAGCTCCAGTCAGTGAGCTCCAGTTCCTAAAGGGGACCTGAAGGGGTGAACCTGACTGGGATAAACCTTAGGGGGCACGTGAATGAAGTGTTTTTGAGACGTCTCAAAAATACACATCATTAACCTGAGGGGGCTGTTAGGCTGTAGGGGGCTGTTAGGCTGTAGGGGGCTGTTAGGCTGTAGGGGGCTGACTAAACCTGAGGAGTTCCATCACCCCACCCTCGCTCTTGTCTCACCCATCATGTGACATGCGATCACCATCACCATCACCCCACCCTCGCTTTTGTCCAACCCATCACGGCAGGTGCTGCAAGAGAGGGGGGAGAGCACGTCTCGCCACGGCCGTGCGACCTTCTCAGTCCTTCTCTTCCAGGTGCCATCTGCTGCCCATAAAGGAGCCATCTGCTGCCCTTGAAGCTGCCAGCTTGTCTGCCTGTCATTGCTGTCTGTTGTGGCTGTCTGTAGTCTGTTGTCTGCTGACAATTCCATCCACTTCTATCCAACCTCCTCTCCCCCCACCTTTCCCCTTCCTCTTCTCTTTCTCCCCTTACCTCCATCCCACACGTCCCTTCCTCTCTGCCCACATCCCATTTCTCACGTCCATACAATACAATACATCCCATTCCTCACGTCCATACAATACATCTCACCAGGATCTCGCAGTGGTCGTGCTGCTCATCCTCATCCCTCTCCTCGCACCCTCCCCGTCTTCTGCTGATGGGGTACGCCACGCCCTCCTTTACCTTCACCCTGCCCTGCCATTCTGTAACTCGCGCATTGCAAATGAATAGCCATGTGTAGCGAGGGTGTTTTTGAGACGTCTCAAAAACTCGCGCATTGCAAATGAAGCTGACATGTTGTGATGTGATGTAATCGCCACGTCATTATCGTCTGCCTCTCATGGGGCACAATCCATTCTCTTTTTTCGTCACTGTTCCTACATACTCTTCCGCTCTTTCTTCCAACCACCCCTCCCCTTCCCCCCCATGGCAGTCCGTGGGTCTGGCAGCCATAGCGAAGGCGCTGGGCCTGGCAGCGATGAAGGCTGTGGTCGCCATTGCAGGCATCTTTGCGGGCGGCAGACTGGTGGGTGCTGTTTGGGCGGCAGACTGGTGGGTGCTCTTTGGGCGGCAGACTGGTGGGTGCTCTTTGGGCGGCAGACTGGTGGTTTGGTTGTGTGTCGCTTTTTTGGGCTGTCAGGTACTTCCAGGTCGCGTTTGCACTAACTTGTGCAACCCTTTCAACCACCCCCAACCCTTCCCTACCAGCTACTGCGCCCCATATACCGCAGCATGGCGGAGAATCACAACGCGGAGATCTTTGCAGCCAACACGCTGCTCGTCGTTCTCGGCACCTCTGTGCTCACCGCACAGGTGGGTCCTCTTGCGCTGCCTCACAGCACACCACCGCACAGGTGGGTCCTCTTGCGCTGCCTCACAGCACACCACCGCACAGGTGTGTGCCTCACCGCCAGGTGGGTCTTTGGCAGCTCAGGTGGGTTGTTTCGGTCACACATGACCGCGCTTTGCCCTCTTCTGAATGTTATTTTCACTCACCACCTCCCACACTCCTGAATGTTATTTTCAGGTCACCACCTCCCTTATTCCTGAATGTTTTACCCTCCCAGAATGTCCACCTTGCCACTTCTCTCCCCACCACACGCCTGTCTTGTCTCCCCACCCCTCCCTCTTCTGTTCTGTACAGGCGGGCCTGTCAATGGCTCTGGGCGCGTTCCTGGCAGGGCTATTGCTGGTGGAGGGAGTTCGCACTGCAGGTGGAGTCGGGTATCAACCCCTACCCCCTCCCCTCCTCTCCCCCCCTTCCCCTCCCCTCTCCCCACGCCTCCCTTCCCTTCCACTCAACGCTATCTGAGCAGGCGGGCCTGTCAATGGCCTTGGGAGCGTTCCTAGCGGGGCTGTTACTTGCGGAGACGGAGTTTGCGCTGCAGGTGGAGTCGGATATCAACCCCTACCGCGGGCTGCTGCTCGGGCTCTTCTTCATGACTGTGAGTCAACGCCACGTGTGACGGTGATGCTCCCTCGCAACCAAATGTGGTGTCAAATTTGCCTGTGAGACAAAACCATCCCCCACCCACCTTGCCTTGCCTCTCCACCCTCTCTCAAACAAGCATACCAATCGACCTCAAGCATGCCAATCGACCTCAAGCATACCAATCGACCTCAAGCATGCCAATCGACCTCAAGCATTCCAATCGACCTCAAGCATGCCAATCGACCTCAAGCATGCCAATCGACCTCAAGCATGCCAATCGACCTCAAGCATGCCAATCGACCTCAAGCATGCCAATCGACCTCAAGCATGCCAATCGACCTCAAGCATGCCAATCGACCTCAAGCATGCCAATCGACCTCAAGCTGCTCGTAGCGCGCTTCCCCCTCATCCTCACGTCAATAGCTGCTGCACTCATCATCAAGAAAACGCCTTAACCCCTACCTCTTCCCTCTTTCCTTTTCCCGCTTGCCCCGTCTCGTGCTCCCATCCCCCCCTCCGATCGCCCATCCCCCCCTCCGATCGCCCATCCCCCCCTCCGATCGCCCATCCCCCCCTCCGATCGCCCATCCCCCCCTCCGATCGCCCATCCCCCCCTCCGATCGCCCATCCCCCCCTCCGATCGCCCCGCGCTCACAGGTGGGAATGTCAATCGACCCCAAGCTTCTGATCGCGCGCTTCCCCCTCATCATCGCATCAATAGCAGCGCTCATCATCGGCAAGACAGCACTCATAACAGCCATGGGGCGTTCCTTTGGGCTCTCCACCGTCGCTGCTGTGCGCACCGGCCTGCTACTTGCCCCCGGAGGGGAGTTCGCATTTGTTGCGTTTGGGGAGGCCGTGCAGAAGGTACGAGAGAGGCTCTTGTGCCTCTCATTTCTGCACTTCTCTTCCATGATGTGCGTATTGCCATGCCTGTGGCATGATGTGCATATTGCCATGCCTGTGGCATGATGTGCGTATTGCCATGCCTGTGGCATGATGTGCGTATTGCCATGCCTGTGGCATGATGCCAGCGCAGCTCTCCTCTCTCCTCTTCCACATCGTCGTGGGAATCAATCAGCATGGCCATCACGCCCTGGCTCGGCTCCATGGCACGCTGTCTCTGCTTGACTCTGCTTGACTCTGCTTGACTCACACACACGCACGCACGCACACACCACATCCCCCACCCACTTCCACTTACATCAGGGCATCATGCCAGCGCAGCTCTCCTCGCTGCTCTTCCTAATCGTCGGCATCAGCATGGCCATCACGCCCTGGCTTGCCGGCTTCGGTCAGCTGCTAGCAGCGCGCTTCGACCAGCAGGATGTGAGGAGCTTGGAGCCGCAGGAGACAGAGACGGACGACCTGCAGGGCCATATCATCATATGTGGCTTCGGTCGTGTGGGGCAGATCATCGGCCAGCTGCTCTCAGAGCGCCTCATCCCCTTCGTTGCCCTCGACGTCCGCACGTAAGGCTCGCCTCTGAGCCTCTTGCTCTCTTGCTCTGATCTGTCTCTTGCTTTGTTTAGTTTTTTCTCCTTCGTTTTACCAGCATGTAAGTAAGATGTTTGTCAGTGTCTTGCCCTGCGTCCACCCCTTATATCACAAATCTCTAGTGAGAGAGTGAGTGCCCGTCAGAGCCTCGACCTGCCGGTGTACTTCAGTGATGTGTGCAGCAGAGAGGCTCAGCACAAGGAGGGGGCAGGCAGCAGGCTGTGGGGCACCTGGAATCTGCTGGGTGGTACCGTGACCCTTTTGAGACGTCTCAAAAGTCATCTACTGTGACCCTTGTCTCCCTCCCCGGCCCTCTTGCTCCTTTCTTTCTGCCTCTTCTTTCTCCTTGGCCCCCAGTGAGAGAGTGAGTGCGGGTCAGTCCCTCGACCTGCCTGTCTATTCTGGCGACGCGGGCAGCAGGGACGTGCTGCATAAGGTGGGGGCGGAGCGAAAGCAATCACCTGGGTGGTACCTCATCTCTGTCTTTCTCGCTGCCCCTTCTCCCTTTCTCTTCCCTGGCCCCAGTGAGAGGGTGAGCGCAGGTCAGAGCCTTGACCTGCCAGTGTATTTCGGCGACGCGGGCAGCAGGGACGTGCTGCACAAGGTGGGGGCGGAGCGGGCGGCGGCGGCCGTCATTACTCTCGACACGCCCGGAGCGAACTACCGCGCGGTGTGGGCGCTGACGCGCAACTTCCCGCACATCAAGACGTTTGTGCGCGCGCATGACGTCGACCATGGGATTAATCTCGAGAAGGCCGGAGCCACTGCGGTGAGACTAGGGATATTGGTAGTGGAGGAGGGGAAAGGGGAGTGTGGGAGAAAGGGCGAGGGGAGGGAATGGGAGGGGCGTGGTGGAGGGGGGGATGGTGACCGGTGGACTATTCAGATCTTTCCCCACCTCCACTCCCAATCTTTCTAGATATATCTTTTAATTCCCGTTGCCCCTCTTTCCCCACCCCTCCCCTTCCCTCCCCTCTTCCCTCCCCCTCTTGTTGATGAACCTTGTACTGGTCCAACCACTGCTATTCTCCCATTTCACCTGCTCACACCTGCCCACCCCTGCTCACACCTGCCCACCCCTGCTCACACCTGCCCACCCCTGCTCACACCTGCCCACCCCTGCTCACACCTGCCCACCCCTGCTCACACCTGCCCACCCCTGCTCACACCTGCCCACCCCTCCTCACACCTGCCCACCCCTCCTCACACCTGCCCACCCCTGCTCACACCTGTCCCACGCGATCAGGTGGTGCCAGAGACGTTGGAGCCCAGCCTTCAGTTGGCAGCAGCCGTGCTCGCCCAGGTGCGTGTCAGGGAATTTGGGGAGAGGGGGAGGGTGGGGGGTGGTGGGAAAGGTTGTACTGCTGTGGAGAACTGTATTGCAGTGGATCATTTTATGCACTGCGGGTTGCACTGTTTTCATTTAAGGCTGCAACACATGCTGCTGTTGCCGGCGTCCTCTCATCTCTCGACCCTCCAAGAAACTCATTCACCTCCCCATCGCCCCATCTTCCCATCACGTTATCCTCCTCCATCACTCTTTATTCCCACACCGTGTGTGCAACGTCAGGCCAAGCTCCCGCCAGCGGAGATTGCTGCCACGTTGGATGACTTCAGAGTGCGACACCTGGCAGACCTCAACGAGGTGAGCTGAGCTGACACGTCAGCCGCCCGGCAACAATATTTTGTCTGTATCTTAGCATCTGTTGCTTGCATGTTGCTTCCCCTTAACTCCTCGATCGGTGTTACCTACCTTCTGTGACGAGTTCCCGCCCGTGTGTTTCATCTCACTCTCCTCGCAGACGTCCATGGGCTTTGCATCATCATAGACTCAAGCGCACTGCCGAAGTTATATATCAAACTGTTGGCCCTTTCTAAAAAATGCATTAAACCAAATGATTCCTTCTCAACTGGAACATTGCCGCCTTGTAAAGCTGATAAAGTGGGCGTGTAGGTACCATTTTTCAAACCTTGTAGTCTCCCTGACTAAGCAAAGCTCCTCGGTGTTGCCAGGCCATTCATTAACCATGTGACAATGCTGAAAAACACTCTACGGTTGTTTGACATTCCAAAAATCAGAATGTTACCACCACATGTACGTATGTTCAAGGGATGTGATCGAGAGACTACACAGTTGCTGGTTGTCAGGGTACGCAGGAATTGGCCTCTCCCATCCCAAATGGAGCAGGCGAAGAAGAATTATGCGGTACCGTATGAGCAGAGCAAGTGACATTTTACAGTTGAGGACGGGGGTTGCACAAAGCAACATTCCGTAAGTATTTTGCAGAGTCATCTAATTGCACCATGGGTGTGTGCAATGCAACTCTTCATACTATGTTACGTCAAAATTATTAAATGTTATGCTTCTTTTGTCTGACCAATAGGACAAGTGAACATTAGCGTCAACGCATGCCATTGGGTAAGAGAGTTCAACGGGGATGAACTCTATTTTCGATGGCACTATGCTCAGCATGGGAGCCTTTAGACGTCATGCTATCCGTGGCTGAAACCCTCAAACCCACCGCCTCTTCTGAATCCCTTCCCTCCACTTGCTTACCCAACAGACTCCCACTTTCTTGCCCACTAACCGCCCCATTCTTGTCCGTGCTTTCCGTGCTTGTAAACCCACTAACACCTCCGAAGCCTTCCATACCAACACTATCCACATCCTCGCTAATGAGTGCTCTCATTACAGGCTCAACGGGAGCAGCCTCCCTCTCGCCTTTACCTGTGCAGTACTTCTGAATCAAATCGTCGATTCGGTGCGCCACAGCCTTCATGTCCGGGCGGCGCGTGCACGGCATTTTGAGGCAATCAAGAGCAATGTCTGCAAACTCCACTATAGCGTCCTCTGGAACCTCCATTGAGGGGTCTTTGAGCAGGTCTAGCTCGTAATCCGCCACCCGTTGAGCCGCCTGGTGGTGGGGAGGAATGGAGGTAGAGCAACAGGTACTTCATCACCACAGCACATACAGCTAGTTAGACCTTTGTAACTGGCACAGAGGATCTAGCTAAGGTGGGGGCTAGGAGAGTTCGAGACCACATGTATTGAGTGCCTCCATGCAACAGGTACTCAAGTGTGGAGCAGAAGCAAAGGTAATGAGAGCGCACTCACCCACGTGGCGATGTGGTAGTCCTCTTCGCTCATCACTGCTGGCCGGCCTGTCAGCATCTCCAGCAGCACCACTCCGAAGCTGCATGGCAGGTAGGCCCACAGGGGACACAGCAGACACAGGCAGGGGGCCTGGCGCATCAATGGCTGCAGTCCGAGGGCAGTCGCGGTGAAAAGAATCTGACATTTGTTTGGTAGCCAGCCTTTCCACATCATCCACTCACCTGTAGACATCTGTCTTGGGAGACACCACACGTGTGCGGTTGTAGTCCGGGTCCACATACCCCGGCGTGCCTGCGATTCGCGTGGCACCCCCGTCCCCGTCCCCCTCAGTGAGCTGCTTGAGCAGCCCAAAGTCAGCGAGCTTGGCGGCCAGCGAGTCAGTGACGAGGATGTTGGCGGGCTTCACATCGCGGTGCACGATGGGCGTGCTGAAGCTGTGCAGGTACGCCAGGCCTTCTGCTGCTCCCAGGGCGATTTTAAGGCGCTGGTGGAAGGTGAGGGGGCCTGCAGGGGAGTTTGGGGAGCGAGGGGTGCAGATTGAGGGGAAATTGAGAGGTAAGCTTTTTCAGACCAAAAGGCATTATCGGCATGTTGAAGCTGTGAGCAAGGTGCTTGAGAACGTTAGGCTATGCTGCCGATTGTGCACGGGAACTAGTAGCCTTAGGAACGTGCACTTAGCATGGTGGATGAAGTGTTTCAGGTCGCCATTGCCCACATACTCGTACACCAGCACCTAGCGTACATGTGTACATGCTCACGTCTCAGTGGAGACGTACACTTGGCGTGGTGGATGTGGTGCTTCAGGTCGCCATTGCCCACATATTCATACACCAACACCTGCTCCTGCCGCCCGCTCTCCACCTGCATGTCCACACAGAACCCCAGCAGCCGCACCAGGTTCTCATGCCTTAGGGTTGCCATTGCTCGCACCTGTGTATGGACAGCAGAGTAAGGGAGGAGGAGGAAGAGAAGGAGGATGTCACCAGCAGAGCAGCTGCACCAATCTCTCTCTTGGCCCTATGTTCCATGGCCCCCACATGTGCTTAACTGCTTCACAGCCCACATTCCCCCCCTTTGAACTACGAACTGCAAACTGAACTACCCACCACTACCCACCACTACCCACCACTGCTCACGACTGCCCGCAAACTGTTACCCACTGCCCCTTTGAACGACATGCTCACATGCTTTGGACCAGTTAGTGCCCCCTCCCCATCAATGCACACACCTCCTTCTCAAAGTCGTTGGTCATCACTCTACATCGCTTCACAGCCCACATCTCCCCTTGCGGCGACACCCCCAGGTACACCGTTGCAAAGCCCCCCCGCCCCAGCCGGTTTGCGTCGGCCCAGTTGTCGGTGGCTTGCACGAGCTGCTGCAGGGAGAACTCGTGGCACACATCCAGGTCGCCCCACTTGCCTGGTGGAACAGGAGAAGGAAGAGAGGAAGATTGGGGGGAGGAGAGGAGGGGAGGGGTAGCAAGTGGTTGAGAGTTACTTCACTGACCCATTTAGTCATGAGCAGGAGCCAGGAGCAGGTAAGCGAGGGATACATTGCAAAAACTCTTGAGAGATTTAACCACAAGGGATTGCGGTAATCGCCTCTCGAGGGTTCAGGGGTACTACTCACGGCGGCGTTTGGGGAGGAGAAACCACACGAGGATAGCTGCGAGTAGGGCAAGCCCAAAGAAGCAGCCCAGTGCGATGCCTGCCACTGCTGCTGCTGATAGGCCTGACGGGGAGGGGGAGAAACATGAGGGAGGGAGAGGAGAGGGAAGAATTTGCCACATGCGTTGCAAGGTGACACTGACATGGTGTTGCAGTGGGCTGCAGTGGACTGCAGTGGTGAACACAGACTGTAAGGACACCTCCCTCGTGTAGTGTGGGTGTGGGGAGAGATCTTCACAGCTGCAGCCTATTTTCAAGGCGTTTCAGACCCACGCACCTGGACCAGGGACTGTGGTGGTGGTGAGAATGACGCACGTCGACCCGTTACCGCTGTCATACGCGCTGTACCCCACGTCACACTCGCACGTGAAGCTGGATGTAGAACCCTGGGAGGAGTCGGCAGCACCCTGGGGGGGCGGCACACAGGCCCCGTGGCCGTCACAGGGGCCATTGTCCGTGATGCTGCAGAACGCCCTGCATGCTGCTGGCGTGCGCTGGGGGAACGTGGGTGAGAGGGAGGAGGAGGAGGTGGTGGAAGAGAAGGAGGAGGAGGAAATGGAGGAGTTGGGAGGGGTGGAGGGGCTGGAGTAGGGTGTGGCAGGGCAGGAGAGGGGGGCGGTGGGCTGGAAGCAGTTGCTTGCGAGACTCGCCTGCCCCCTCTCGTACTGCCGTGCCACCACCAGTGGCACCCTGGGATGCATAAGAGGGGGTGGAGGGAGGGAAGGAGGGTGAGGGGGAAGGGAGTGAAGGAGGGAGTGAAGGAAGCCGGAGATAGGGAGGGAGGGAGGGAATGGTGGTTGGCGCGGAAAGGTGAACGATTAAAAAGTTGCCCAATCCAAAGGCACCCACCACAGGAAACACCCAGCGCAGTAAACACCCACCCACCTGCCGGCCTCTGACTGCACGACGCAGTTCCCTCCCGCCTGCACGCTCAAATCCCCAGGCTCCACAGTGCTTTCCCCTGAAATCTCCGATGGGCAGAACTGGCAGCCACTGGCGAAGAGCACTGGGTCTCCGTAAAAGTAGTTGTGCGCGAGGTTCAGCAGAGCCCCCGCGGTGGGCACTATGCCCTCGAAGTTGCGGTTGATGCGCCCGTAGAAGCTGTTGTGACTCACGTCCCTGTACGGGGTGGTGAGGGTAATGATTATGGGTGAAATCTGGAATTCAAACGATCGATTTGGGGAAGAAAGGAAACCGTTCTTGGGGAACTCAAACAGAGGCTCACAGAACAAGCCGAGGGATGAGGGAGCGCTTTCTCAAGCATCTCAGAAACAAGGTGGGGGGTGAGGGAAGTGAACGGACAGTCTGTTGAGGCAGGGGAAGGCGTTGAAGAGACAGTCGGGGATGGGGCCAAAGAAGCTGTTGCTGCTCAGATACCTGCGATGGAGGGGGCAGAGAATGGGTGAGTGATGGCAATGAGTGATGGCAATGAGTGATGGCAATGACGGAATGAGTGATGGAAGTGAAGTGATGATAGAAGATGGAGAGCAGACAAAGCGGGTGAGTGGTGGAAGAGTGGTGAGAGAATGAGTGATACCAGTGGCTTACAGGATTTCTAGATGGGAGAGGTTACAGAACGAGGATGGAAGCTTCCCTGTGAGGTTGTTGCGACTCAGCCAGCTGCAAGGCAGCAGCAGCACGATTGCAGCAGCAATACGGAAAAAGGAATGAGAAGAAAGGACACAGCTCCATGTGAATATACACACACGGGAGCTGTTGCTCTACACAAGGCATACTCACATGCGTGAGATTTCTAGGCTACACCAGACTATTTAACGGCGAGGAATATGACACTGCCGGAGGTCATTCATAACTCGGCTCAAAAATCACCTCCAAGAACCGCTCTTCTACACAAGGAATATTCAGGCACATGAGACCAAACCAGGCGAGTGGATTGTTAGGGATTTTTCTTAGCCAAGAGCACTCCTCACAGGTGGCGCAGGGACGAGAGCTGGCCTAGGTTGTCTGGGAGGGAGCCCTGAATGCTGTTACGCGCCAGCAGCCTGGGAGCCCATGGTCCATGCACCCGTAGAGTGGTGAGGGACCGGGTGAGTGAGGGAGGAGAGATGTGCATGGTGCGGTGATGAGATCCACACAATTGATGATCCTGCACGACCTTATGACGAGTACGAAAGTGTTGCTTTTGAGGCGCCTCAAAAGTTAATGTTGGACAACCTTATGACGAGTGCGAAAGTGTTTCTTTCCACCCAGTGCGTGCCTTGATGCCAATGCTTGCTTCTGAGTCAGCGCATGATCATGTCTTCACTGCCTGCAGTGGTCGCAAGCGGGTGGGCTCACAGGGACTCGAGGGAGGTGATGGAGAGCAGGCTGGTTGGGAAGGGTCCATCCAACTGATTGCTGTGCAGGCTACTGCACATTCCACAGCACAAGCCACAGCACAAGCCAGCACAAACCAGCACAAACCAGCACAAGCCGCAAGATGTGTAGAAAGACAGAAGCATGCCAGGCGTGTCGAAGGGTAAGTCACACATGCAGAGTCCACGCTACAGGGTACCTCTCATACACACAAGTGCTGGCGAGTAAACATACTTGCTAACATACATAAGAGAACACACACACTGCGACTTGGTTCATTCCCGGAGCATCGCAAAGAAACTTCACCACACGGGAATCCAGGTGCCTCAGAAGCAGCAAATGGTGGAGGTGAAACGCAGCGAGGGACTGACAGGATGAGGAGGGAGGTGAGGGTGGAGATGGAGGGTGGGATATGGCCCGTGAGGTTGTTGCCTGCCAGGAACCTGATGGATGGCCGGGTATGAACAGGAGGCAGCACGCGTTGCGAGCAACTCTCGGGGAGGGACAGGTGGAAGAAACGCGGACGCGTGATGCTGCTGGAAAAGAACCAGGTCATGTGAAGCACGATGCAATTGCCTTGTGCTGTCCCCACGCGCACAGCAGCGGGTGCACAGTGCGTAGGGCAAAGCATTGTCAGTGAGAGACCAGTCGTGGCGTCACAAGCTCACTCAACCCCATCTGCCCAACGCACACGCACAGCACAGCGATGACCGTAAAGTGCGTGGGGAGACTGCTGCTGCAGACGTGTTCCAGCGAGAAAAGACTGCTGCCACCCTAGCTGGGTGGCACCCTCCCTAAGTGAATACTCAAAGATGCAACCCCTACCCACACGCACACCAGTGGGCTGGCCATACAGTGCAATGAGAGACGTGTTCCAGCGAGAGAAGTCCGGGAGAGAGCCTGCAAGCCCGTTGCCTTCCAGATGCCTGCAGTGCAGCAGAGGTGCGCACGCATGGCAGCAGGGGACAGGTTGGGGGGCTCAGGCTACACAATGGAGGTGGCTCTTAACAAGTCCATTGCCCTCCCATGCCTGAAGTGCAGGGGCGCATAGCCACGGCAGCAGGGCAGAGGTTGGGGGTCAGGGTAGGGCCTCAGGTGGGAGCAGAGCGGGAAAAGAGCACGCATGAGAGCACGCGTGAGAGCACGCATGGGAGCACGCATGAGAGCACGCATGAGAGCATGCATGGGACCATGCAAGAGAGCACGCATGAGAGCGTAGAGTATGCTGTGATTGGTGCAGCGGTGCAGAGGTAGATGGGATGGGATCGTGGGAAGACAGTGAAGAGGGATCTATCTTGAGTGGACACGTCGGCACAATGTGGCTCTCGAGTATTCGGTACAATGCGGCTCACAGTTGTTCCAGGGAGGCCGAGGTTTGAAGGGCGGAGGGCAGGGCGCCAGAGAGCAGGTTGCGTGATGCCATGCTGCAAACATACACAAGTCGCAAAATCAAGCAAAAATCTCAGAGCATCAAGAGACTGGAGTCAGTTGCAATGCTTCTTCGCCTGGACAGCTCGCCAGTGCAACAAAGAATGGAATTAAAAAGCTTCCCTTTGAGAACAAGCATTTCTCATGCTGTGTCATGGTTAGGATCAAGGCTTCTGGAAGAAGGCGAGGGAGGGAGTAGAGGCTGACAGGGTCCTAAGAGCTGTGAGGGAGAAGAGAGCGCCTGGGATGCTGCCATGAAAGCGGTTGTCACTCACTTCCCTGCATGCCGTGTTGCACAGCAGAGCAGAGCAGAGCAGAGCAGAGCAGAGGGCAGCACAGCAGAGCAGAGAGCAGGAGAGAAGAGAGGGCAGCGACGAGAGTGGTGAGGGTAGAGTGGAGAGGACAGAGTGGGTGATGCGGGTAGTCGAGTCCAGGAGATATATATAGAAACAAGGAGCCAGGGATACATGCACGTCACACTAGATGCACGGCACACTAAATGCACGGCACACTAAATGCACGGCACACTAAATGCACGGCACACTAAATGCACGGCACACTAAATGCACGGCACACTAAATGCACGGCACACTAGATGCACGGCACACTAAATGCACGGCACACTAGATGCACGGCACACTAGATGCACGACACACTAAATGCACGTCACACTAAATGCACGGCACACTAAATGCACGGCACACTAAATGCACGGCACACTAAATGCACGGCACACTAAATGCACGGCACACTAAATGCACGGCACACTAAATGCACGGCACACTAGATGCACGGCACACTAGATGCACGGCACACTAAATGCACGTCACACTAAATGCACGGCACACTAAATGCACGGCACACTAAATGCACGGCACACTAGATGCACGGCACACTAAATGCACGGCACACTAAATGCACGGCACACTAAATGCACGGCACACTAAATGCACGGCACACTAAATGCACGGCACACTAAATGCACGGCACACTAAATGCACGGCACACTAGATGCACGGCACACTAAATGCACGGCACACTAAATGCACGGCATACTGATACATGAATACTTGAGGTTGAGAACTGTCTCACAGGTCATTGAGGTTGAGAACTGTCTCACAGGTCATTGAGGTTGGCCAGAGCAGACACATGCGGTGGGATGGACCCAGAAAAGCTGTTGCTCTGCAAGCCACTGAGGGAGGGACGGGCAGGCGGTCGAAGGCAGGGAGAGAGGGAGAGAGGGAGAGAGGGAGAGAGGGAGAGAGGGAGAGAGGGAGAGAGGGAGAGAGGGAGAGAGGGAGAGAGGGAGAGGAGAGTGCTGTCTGGTTGGGGCTGCACGGCACACAGCATAGCCTTTTAGAATTCTCGAAAGAAGATGAGCATGACATCAGCACGGGAAATGTCAGCCTTGACACGTCAGCGTGGACATGTCTGCACGGGCATATCAGGCACTGACACGTCAGAATGGGCATGTCAGCATGGGATGACGTACAGGGCGTTGAGGTTGGTGAGGGTGAGGACAACTGAGGGGAAGCTTCCTGAGAATTGATTCTCGCCCAACTCGCTGGAGGGGAGGGCGTTGAAGGGGCCAATACAAGGGGTGCGTGTCATGTCATGAGTGAATCCTTTGAGCACAACACGAATTAAGTGAGCAAAGGCTGGGGGATGGTGCAACAGTCACTTAGTGAGCAAAGGCTGGGGGATGGTGCAGGGGGAAACAGGGAACGACGGACGGGAAGTGGGTATCAGTACAAGGGAAGAGAGGGCTCACAAAAGCCAAGGGAAGAGAGGGCTCACAAAAGCCAAGGGAAGAGAGGGCTCACAAAAGCCAAGGGAAGAGAGGGCTCACAAAAGCCAAGGGAAGAGAGGGCTCACAAAAGCCAAGGGAAGAGAGGGCTCACAAAAGCCAAGGGAAGAGAGGGCTCACAAAAGCCAAGGGAAGAGAGGGCTCACAAAAGCCAAGGGAAGAGAGGGCTCACAAAAGCCAAGGGAAGAGAGGGCTCACAAAAGCCGAGAGGGCTCACAAAAGCCAAGGGAAGAGAGGGCTCACAAAAGCCAAGGGAAGAGAGGGCTCACAAAAGCCAAGGGAAGAGAGGGCTCACAAAAGCCAAGGGAAGAGAGGGCTCACAAAAGCCAAGGGAAGAGAGGGCTCACAAAAGCCAAGGGAAGAGAGGGCTCACAAAAGCCAAGGGAAGAGAGGGCTCACAAAAGCCAAGGGAAGAGAGGGCTCACAAAAGCCAAGGGAAGAGAGGGCTCACAAAAGCCAAGGGAAGAGAGGGCTCACAAAAGCCAAGGGAAGAGAGGGCTCACAAAAGCCAAGGGAAGAGAGGGCTCACAAAAGCCAAGGGAAGAGAGGGCTCACAAAAGCCAAGGGAAGAGAGGGCTCACAAAAGCCAAGGGAAGAGAGGGCTCACAAAAGCCAAGGGAAGAGAGGGCTCACAAAAGCCAAGGGAAGAGAGGGCTCACAAAAGCCAAGGGAAGAGAGGGCTCACAAAAGCCAAGGGAAGAGAGGGCTCACAAAAGCCAAGGGAAGCAGGAGGCTGACAGGTGAGAGGGGCAGTGCTCACAGGAATTGGAGGGCGGTGAGCGATGAGAGGGAGGCAGGCACAGTCCCTGAGAAGTTGTTGCTCTTCAAATTCCTGCAAGTCGTGCAGGTTAAACGTAGTAAGGGCATGCCATGGTTAGGTTGAGCTTGGCAAGGGCTGAGGTGCCCTTGAAAATTTGGGAGATGAGTGACAGAGGGGAGATGAGTGACAGAGGGGAGACGAGTGACAGAGGGGAGACGAGCTAAAAAGGGTGACATGATATGCCACAGTCGTTCTGGAAAACCAGAATGGTCGCGTAGCCGCTGACAGCATGGCATGTGCTTACAGCATGGCGAGCCAGGGCATGTCAGAAACAACATCGAGTCCACTGTTGAGCTTATTTCCACCCACGGACCTGCATGCGATGTACAGTGGGATAGAATCAAATCCACAGATAATTCCTTGGGATGCGCAGTGGGATAACATGGGATGTACGGTGACAGAAACGCATGTGATGTGATGTGATGTGATGTGATGTGATGCACTTGAGGTGAAATTTGAGTCGACTTAGAAGTGAACGCGTGATGCCTGTCAACTCACCTCAGTACGCCATGAGTTGGCTGTCACCACTTCTGACTGTGACAGACTCAGTACATCTTGAGACTCCTTCAGAGACTGTCAGCTCAGCTCAAGTACAGCTCACGCATATACAATAGAGAACATCTGCATGACAATTATAAAGCGCTCAGATTTGAGACGCCTCAAAACTCAGAACCTTCAGCTTGGCTCACGTACAGCTCACGCATATACACCAGCCCAGTGAAGGTGCGAGGAATGCCTCCCACAAACCGGTTGTTCCTCAACTCCCTGAGAGGAAATGCAGAGAAGAATTTGTTCCAAAAAAGTGTGTGAGACATCTTAAAACTAGGAGAAAGTGCAGAAGAGAGAGAGAATGGCGAGGTTTAGGATCTTGCAGCATGAGGCTCACCGGTGCAGCATGAAGCTCACCGGCGCCCCTCCTTTCCCTTCCTAAGCACCCACGTGACTCACAGCTCCATGAGGCTCGGAAGTGATCCTAAGAAGTCTGGAATGGGTCCGCCAAACTGGTTGTTGCCAAGGTTCCTGAGAGGTGGGGAGAGGATACAGAGCACATCTGAGAAGCACGTGCGTGAAACGTGTGTGGGTGGCTAGAGTGTGGGGTTAGAAACGCATTGGAACCCGGCATGTGTGTGAAGACTGACCCAAGCGGGGCTTACAGGGTCTCGAGATTGGATGAGAAGACTTGAGGAAGAGTCCCTGAGAGACTGTTGGTGTTGAGGTTGCTGGGAGTAGGGCAGGGCAACGCAGAGCACGACAGACAGGGAGAGGTTGATGGAACAAGCAGTGTGCTGCAACGAGCAAGGTGTTCATTAGCTGTCGCCTTTCCAGACTTCACAGGAACAAGGCAACAGAACAGAGTGTCAGGGTGACACTGAGATGGGTGCAAGGCGCGAGTCACTCACAGGAAGGTGAGAGCCTTGAGAGCGGAGTAGCTGCCTGGAATGGAACCTTCCAGCTGATTTTCTTGCAGATCGCTGAGTGAGGGGTTGAGTGAGATGAGAAGTGGTGGAAGGCCAGGGCGGCCGGTTCAGGACTGCTCCTATGGAGCTTCAGAGAAATTAACTCTTCTAAGCAGAATTCCTTGAAGATTGGTGATTGATAAGCGACTGAGAAGCAAGGTGGGTGGTGGGTGGACCGGCTGAGGTTTGATGATTATCAAATTTATTGAGCTCCTTTCACAGCTTAGGGAAAGAACAGAGTGAGAAGGGAAGCGCTGAAAGGCGGTGCGGGGCAGTGTGTGTGTGAGGAAGGACTGAGGAGTCAGACCCAAACACACTAGCAGGTGCTCTGCTCAGAGCTCTGGCGATTCGCGAAGAACTCACAGGCGCTCCAGTGCGGTGAGTCCGCTCCACGTCTCTGGGAGGAAGCCCGACAGGCCGTTGCCAGCAGCAAGACTGCAGGAAGAGAGGCAATGCAGGGTGCAGCATAGGAGGCATGATCAGGTGCAGCATGGGAGGCATGATTGGGTGCAGCATGAGAAGGTCAAGGTGAGACTCATGGGCGTGTGCCTAGAGGGTAGTGCAGACAAAGGATGATGAGAGCAGGTTGAAGCTTCATGAGCAGCTTGAGTAGCAGAGCTGGTGCAGCAGCACCAGCGACAGCAGCGGGAGCAGCAGCAGCAGCGGGAACGGGAGCTGCACTGACAAGGTGCGGAGGGAGGAGAGGCGGTTGAGGTCGCGGGGAATGTAGCCCCTGCGCTGCTTGTACTGGTGCTGCAGGTCTCTGCCATGGTTGAAACAGGAACAGGGATGTTGGCGCAGGGGGATGGGGACACGAACCGTTCTTATGTGGCTCCAAAATTAGAAGCGTGAAAACAACTTACTGACAGGAAAAGAAGACGGTATTTGATGAGAAGGGGAGAGATGATAGGGTGAGAAGGGTGTGTGCTCACATGTACTCAAGGCGTGTGAGGTCAACAATCCAGGTGGGGAAGTCGGAGAAATAGTTGTAAGACAAGTCCCTGGCGGTACAGAGGGTTTTGAGAGCGGTGCCAGGTGGAGAGGGTGTCAATGAGAGTTTTTCCAAACAGTGCAAGCTGGTGAGAAGCGGTGATAAGCAGCTTGAAAACCCTGGGTTTTACGAACAGCACAGCAGCATGGGGTGGGGCGAAATTCACGTTGAGAGGTGCAAGGAGGGTTCAGAGCAGTGATTACAGGTGGGTGAGCTGAGTGAGGAAGCTGAGTTGATAGGGTAGCTCCCCGACCACTCTGCCTAGGTCCCCGAGGACACTGGTGGGATAAGTAGGTGGGACACAAGTTGGTGGGACACAAGTTGGTGGGACACAAGTTGGTGGGACACAAGTTGGTGGGACACAAGTTGGTGGGACACAAGTTGGTGGGACACAAGTTGGTGGGACACAAGTTGGTGGGACACAAGTTGGTGGGACACAAGTTGGTGGGACACAAGTTGGTGGGACACAAGTTGGTGGGACACAAGTTGGTGGGACACAAGTTGGTGGGACACAAGTTGGTGGGACACAAGTTGGTGGGACACAAGTTGGTGGGACACAAGTTGGTGGGACACAAGTTGGTGGGACACAAGTTGGTGGGACACAAGTTGGTGGGACACAAGTTGGTGGGACACAAGTTGGTGGGACACAAGTTGGTGGGACACAAGTTGGTGGGACACAAGTTGGTGGGACACAAGTTGGTGGGACACAAGTTGGTGGGACACAAGTTGGTGGGACACAAGTTGGTGGGTTACAGGTACAGAAGCAGGGGTTACAACGAGAGGGAGGAAGAGCCGACTTTTAGCAGGGAAACGTGGGAGGCATGAGGTCCGAAATAACAAACTAAGTTAAGGATATAAGATATGGATCCCATTGTATGGAAAACCAAGTCAATTGATTAAGTAGCAGATCTAGCGAGCAGGTGACACTCGCAGCTTGTGCAGGCGCGTGAGGGTGGAGAGGCCGCTGAGGTCAGCCATGTGGCCGTTTGTCATGGCGTCAGACCCAAACAGCTCCAGTGTGTGCAAGCGCGTGAGGAGGGAAACGAAGGTGAGCGAGAGTGGTGGTGACTGGTGAGGGCACTCACAGCTTCTGCAGGCGTGTGAGGGTGGAGAGGCCGCTGAGAGCAGTCATAAAGCCGTCTGTCATGGCGTCGAAGCCAAAGAGCTCCAGCGTGTGCAGGCGGGTGAGGAGGGACACGAAGGTGAGCGTGTTGATGGAGCCTCCCACTGGGGCACCCTGTAGGTGAATGTTGCTGGGCGGTGGTGGGTGTGGTGGGTGCAGTGTGGTGTGGTATGGGGTGGGGTGGGTGGGGTGGGTTGGGGAACAGGGAGTCCAGGAAGAGAGGAGGGGATGAGAAGGCGGGGGTGATGATGGTAATGGGTTGTGGAGGTGGGTGGTGTATGGTGGTGGTGGGTTGACGAGAGATGTAGCTACAATTGCCACCGAGAGAGATTGATGTGACGAGGTGTTTCACAAAGAGAGGGCGTGTGACAGGCGAGGTGCAAACATGCCAGAACCCTGAGCTGAGTAGAGAGGCGTGGAAGGGGGACTCACAGGTAGGAGAGCTTGGAGAGTGCACTTAATGTGGACGGCAGCTCGCCTGATATGGATGTGTATGCGAGGTCCCTGTGGGATAGATTGGGAGTGTTGTTGGGTACTTATTTTCCTTTAAATTTGCTGCAGGTTTTGTTCACTAGTTTATTTAAAGTTTGTACGTATTTGTTTACATTATAATAGTGTAGACAATAGGGGTTGGGTTATATTAGTTATAGGGTGCCCCCTGAGTGACTTTATCAAGTGCTAGGCACCCCAAATTCGGCTTTGGGGCACCTCAGCACGTTTCCCAATCTTGGGGACGCGGCTCCAGCCTGGACCCACGAATTTCAACATTGGAAACGCGGCTCCAACTTGGAATTCGCGTTTCCAATTCGTGGAATCGCGGTTCCACTGTAGGGGGCGCTTCCAGGCCCACTTTGAGGGTCCCTCACGTCCCCATCTTGACTGTGGGCGACTTGAGCACCCATTTGGCCACCCCAAGTCCCTTGGGTACCAAATTCCTCACCTGGACCAGCCCAAGTCGCCTCCAAGCTAGCTCTCCTCATTTTCTGCCTATTTTAGCCTTTGTTTTGCTTGTATTCATCACTTCAGTTGATTTACTGCTTCTAGAACCTTTCAGCATTTCAGAACCAGCCTCTCCTTGTGCACATTGTGCACATTAGGTCTGTTTTTCTACATGGTATCAGAGCTATAGCTGAGCCTCCGTTGGTCAGCCTTACTACGAAAGACCTTCTCAAGCATTGCTGGTCTTTTCCAACTCTATGGAGCATTGGCTGAATTTCGTTTTCAATGCTTAGCCATCCTCAGTAATTTTTTTTCGATTTGTCTTCACCATGGCTACAGTGGATAGTCATTTGGGGAGGCTCACTTTGCCCTCCCTCCTCCCCGATGGCTCCAACTTCAACCATTGGAAGCGGATGGTGGTCCTCACCTTCCAACTCGTGGGCATTGTCGGCGCACTTGGCGACTCCACGCTCCCTTCCTCATCTGCATCTTCCTCTACCAGTCCTCCCGCTTCGACGGCAGATCCTGCGCCGACGGCTCCATCAGACACGCGTCGTCAGCCTGCTACCGCTCCACTTGCAGCCGCCGAACAAGAGCAACACGCCTTGCTGTACCTTCTCTCCACACTTCCCGCCCAGCTCTCAATGTCCATCTCTCCAACCGAGACTGCTGCCGGTTTATGGGCTCTTCTCAACAAGAAATTTGCCAAAACCGGCAATCAAGCTCAATTTGGACTGTTACGGCAACTGTTCTCCGTTCGCATGGACCCTGGCCAGTCTGTCCATGCCTACTTTGACCATGTTCGTGGTCTTGACCTGCAACTGCAGACCAGCGGCTACAGTCTACCCTCGTGGGTTACCATCACGTCTATCCTTTTGGGTCTTCCTCGGTCCTACGACACACTTACTGAAACGCTCTGCTCGGTGAAAGAAATAAAGGACATGACCCTTGAGTGGCTTGAGGGACGTCTCGTGGATGCTGAGTGGGACCGTGCAGCCAAGAATTCGTCACTACCAGCTGATGGTGCTTATCTCGTTCAATCTGGACCCTCCAAGCCGCATTCAAGCGCCTCTACCATTTCTTGTCGCTATTGCAAGGCTGCTGGTCACGCCATCACCAATTGCCCTCAGCTTGAGAAGAAGAAGCGAAGGCAGCAACAACAGCAACAGCAACAGTCGCCATACATCCCGCAGTCTACCTACCAGCCACATTCGCAGCCGTACCAGCCCCAACAGCCACCACAGCCGCCCTTCCGCTCCCACGCATCAAGCTCAACCAATAAGGCAGCTGCACACACAGCCCTCCCACCTCTGGCATATTCTGCCCACTCAGCCCAGCCTCTCCTTCCATCTCCTAACTATGACCTCACCTCACCAGCACTCGAGGCTTCTCATTTGTCATCCGCACCACTGTCATCTTCGATCGATTCTCGCTATGCCGATGTCGCCACCGCGCACTTACTCCCTCCCTCTTGGCTGCCGTCCCTACCATCGCTACTCCTCCTCGTATCCTTTCTCCTCTGCCTTTTCTCCATCTTGCTCCAGCGGCCTCTCGCCTCCGCCCTCACCAGCTCTCCTTCTTCCTCCTGGCTCCTTGACTCCGGCGCATCCTCGCATCGCTGCAATGATCCTCATCTATTCTTCTCCCTCCGTCGACCATTTCCTGGTAGTGGCGTCCGGTTTGGCGGTGGGGAGCAGTACCCTGCCCAAGGAGTTGGGGACATTCTTGTTTACGCTTCTCATGACAACCATACCCATCCCATCACCCTGCGGGACGTTCTGTACATTCCCCAGACTGTTCACAATATCATCTCTGTTCGTAAGCTGAAGGACGAAGGACTCACTACACACTTCCTTCTTCATGCTCCTGCCCAAGTGTTTTGTCGGAGATCTCCTCTTCCTTACCTCGTCTCTTGGCTTCTTCCTCCCTTGACTTCTTACCCTTCTTCTTCCTGTTCTTCCCGTACTTCCCTGCCTGCCTGCAGACTCTGCGTGCTTTTGCCTTAGCCACTACCTGAGAGAATCGTGCTCCCACCCAATGGCTGCCCACAGTGGCTTAGAGCTACCTAGCTGGAGTTAGCTTAAACCGGCAACTACAATCCACTCTATGAGGCAAACAAAGCGAGAGAACAGGCTCAATTGGCTAGGCTAGGCTACTTTATTCCCACTCTGAGTTTTGGCAATTGCCATCACCTTGAGTTGGGTTCGGGTCGCCTTGTGCCCTCACTGGTCAATGCAGATTTCCTGTCCCTCGAGGCGCCTTGTCACTTTTCCCAATGCCCCCAATTCCCCATGCCATCAACTTCGCGTCATTCCCCTGGCCCAAGGAATCCCCTACACCCGAATGGCATAACCCCACCCTACACCCTTCTACACCCATTCTAGCAAGCAACAGAATATATTGTTCTTTACCACTATATTTGTTGACAGCTGTCGGATATCTCCTCTTCCTTACCTCGTCTCTTGGCTTCTTCCTCCCTTGACTTCTTACCCTTCTTCTTCCTGTTCTTCCCGTACTTCCCTGCCTGCCTGCAGACTCTGCGTGCTTTTGCCTCAGCCACTACCTGCCCCCTCCTGTGCTCGTGCTCGGGCTGCCCGCGCACGTGTCACAGGACCCTCTTGCTGAGGCCTCTGTCCCTTCACTACTGCGGCATTGGTCTGATGATCCACAGTCCTCTCCCCCTTCTCATTCTCCAGCACCAGCACTCCGGATCCCCTTACCTCCTTTACCTTCCATTTCTCCGTACCCAGCCCCACGTCCAGCGTATCTCTTTTTGCCCTGCGCAGGTACACCTCCTGTCCTTCCATCACTGCTGGCTTGGCCTTCCTGCCCCCCTGTTGCTGCCGCTGCTCATACCTGTGTGCATCCCTCAGCTGCGCCGTGTGCAGGTTTTCGAGCGCTGCAGGGAGCATCTCCCGCATGTACCGTGCACGTGCCTCTGCTAGTGCCACCCACTGGTCTGCTCCCGTGACTCGCACCACATCCGTTAGCACCTTCGGTGCTCCTACTGGCAGGATTGGCTCCCTCCCGAACAGCAAACTATATGGGGAATAGTCCTTCAGGGAGGCCTGCTTCCCGAACCTGTATCCTGCTGCGATCCAGTCCAACTCTTCATCCCAGTCTCTCTTACGCTTCTCCCCGTATGCCCTCAGGTTCCGCTTCAATGTCTGCACCAGGCGCTCAATCAGCCCATCGCTCTGTGGGTGATACCTTGATGTCAGTCTGTGTGTTACCCCGGCCTCGTCCAGCAGTGCCTGAAATTCCCCTCTGAATTCCGTCCCTTGATCAGTAAGCACTTCCCCTGGTGCTCCAAACCTGCACAGTACCTGTCCCTTGAACGCTTTTGCCACGTGCCTGGAATCTTTGCTGGGCAACGCACACACCTCCAGCCACTTGCTTGCGTGTTCCACCATGAGCAGTATGTACCGCTTGCCTCCCCTGCTCAGCGGCAGCTCACCAGCTATGTCCAGAGACCACCTGAACCCCAACCCTCTTATCGGGAGTGACTGCAACTCCAGCTTCGCCTGTGTCAGACTGGCCTTACTCCTCTGACACCCTTCGCATCCACTAACCCATTCTCTGACCTGCCTTCTCATTCCCTCCCACCACCAGCCTGTCTTCAACAGTTCCGTTGTGCGCTCGTGCCCAAAGTGCCCCAGCTTCCTGTGCACTTCTTTAATCACTCCCTCCCTTTCCTGTGGTGCAGGTATCAGTTTCCACCCGTCCGCTGACTGCAACTGCAGCTGCCCCTGATACCATCGGTAATGGTGTCCCCTCGCCCTCACCCTGTCAGAGACCTGCTCATCCTCATCGGTTTCTCCTTTGATCCATCGCAGCGCTGCTGGATCCTCCCAAATGTCCTTTGGTCCCTTTTTCTTCCCTGCTGCTGCCTCCTCCCCTTGCCTCGCCAGCATCATCAGCGTGTGCACTGGCTCTGCTGCCGGTGGGTTCCTTGAGATCCCGTCCACATGCTGCAGGGTCTTCCCCGGCCTGTGGCGTATCTTAAAGTCGTATTCTTGCAGCGTCACGGCCCAACGCGCATTCCTCCCTGTCAGCCCTTGGTGTGTCATCAACCATTGCAGGGGCTGATGGTCTGTGATCAGTGTAAACTCCCTCCCCTGCAGGTATACCCTGAAGTGCTTCACAGCCCACACGGCTGCCAACCCCTCTCCGTGGTAGGAGCTGTACTTGGCTTCCGCTGGGCTGCAGCTCCTGCTTGCGTACGCCACCACTCTCTCTTCCCCGTCCAATTCTTGACACAGGATGGCGCCCATGCCTTGGCTGCTCCAGTCGGTATACAGGCAGAAGGGCTTGTCGGCCCTAGGTAACTGCAGGATTGTTGCCGTCTGTACCGCCTCCATCAGGTCCTTCAACGCTGCTTCCTGTTCCATCCCCCATTCCCACTTCCTATCCTCCTTCAACAACCCGTTCAGTGGTGCGGCCCGCTTGCTGAAATTCGGGACGAACCTGCGGTAATAGCTCAGGAATCCTAGTACCGCCCTCAGTCCGCTCCTGTCCTTCGGCTGCTGCAGCCTGTTCAAGACCTCAATCTTCGCCTGCTGGATTCCTAGCTGCCCGCCCCTGACCTCATATCCCAGGTAGTGCACAGTCGCCTCGCCCCACCTGCATTTCTTCGGATGGCATGTCAGCCCAGCTGCTGCCAACGCCTTCAGTGTCTGCTCCACATCTCTCACGTGCTCGTCCTCCGTTCTGCTGAAAATCACTACATCGTCTATATAACATGCCGCACACTCCAGTCCCCTCAGCACGCTATCCATCACTCTCTGAAAGATGGCCGACGCATTTCTCAACCCAAACGGCATGAATAGCCACTCGTACAAGCCATCTGCCCCATGGAACGCCGTCTTACGCACGTCCTCTTTCCTTATCCTGATCTGGTTGAACCCCTGTCTCAAGTCTAGTGTGCTGAAGATCTCCCCTGCCCCCAGTCGGTCAAAGATATCCTCAGCTGTGGGCATTGGGTACCTATCGGGCACTGTCACTTTGTTCAGTGCTCGATAGTCCCCACACATGCGTCTGCTCAGCACTTCCCCTAGCAGGTCCTTACGGGCAGCTACCACAGTAGGTGTCGCATACTCTGATTCTGATCTCTGTATCAGCCCTGCTTCCATCAGCTCCCTGCATTTTTCCTTGCAAATGTCCTCGTCTCCAGGTGTCATCCTCCGCTTCCTCTGGAACACCGGCTCGTCCGTCACCAGCCTTAACTCCATCTCCTTCACAGAACACTTCCCCAGCTCCTGTAAGGTGAACGCGAAGGCGTGCCTGTACCTTGCCAGCACCTCCTGCATTGCCTCCTTTCCTTTCTCACTCATTGCATTCCCCACAACCCACTTTGGCTCTTCCTTGGCTGCCATGCATGCCCATGCCCCCACCTGTTTCACCCTTGTCCCCTCACTCCCCTGTTCTTTTTCCTCTTCCAGCACTAACCCTCTCCACATCCGCCGCACTAGCCACAGCATGACTTGGCCGTCCATGGCTTGTCCTAATGCCCTCCTCCTCTCCTTTTCCGTCACCCCTGCTGCCTTTGTTACCTCCTCTCCGTACCCCATTGCCAATTCCTTTTCCAACGCCGTCGGCTCCTCCCATTTCTTCGTCCTGCTGTCGTACACCATGCCTTCTCCTGGCATCCCGTCTTCCTCTCTGAACCCTGCTGCTCCCTCGTATCCCACTAAGGTCGGCCAGGCCCTGCGCTCTGCCCCCACTTTGTTGCACGGGCACTGTGTTTCATGCCTGCCCTTCCTGACAGGTGCTGCTGTCCTTCCCGGTTCTAAAATCTCTCTCACAGTCCTGCCCCAATCCCTTTCGTATCCCGTCCAGTTCCTGCTGCAGTTGCTCATCTGCCACAATATTCTGCCAGTACCGTCGGACACGATGCGCCCGTGCCCCCAGCCTAGCCGCATCACATCTCACCCCCTTCCCTAGCTTCCTTGTCACCAACTCCTGTACCTTCCTCACCGGTTCCCTGCAATCCCCTTCCAAGTCCAGGTGCTCCAGCAGGTACACCACTTTCTCTTGTCCCTCTTTAATCCAATCTATGATGCACAGCAAGTTCACAAGCAGCGCGCCTCTTGGATCGCTCAGCCCCTTACCTTTTCCTGCTCTCGACACGGCTTGACACTCCCATCCTGCCACTAACAGGTCCACATGCCCCCAACCTCTTACTATCTCCCGCGTGATGCTTCTTACATCGGTCAGTGTCCCCTGCATGGCCTTCTCTATCACTGCCTCCTCCAGTAACTCAGGATACTCCTGCTGCAGCTTTCTCGCATGATGCTCTGCCATCTTCCTCACTTTCTCGTTACTCTCCACATATATCCACTCCTTCACTGCCACCCCTGCCTTGAGCAGTGCCGCTAACCCTGCTCCGATTCCCCCAAACAGTTCTACTAGCTTTATTGGCTCCTGCCACGCGTTGGCCGCTGCTGCTCTGCCCATGAGTCCTGCTCTACCTCTCCCCTTTGTCCCCGTCTGCTCAGCCGTGTACGCTCTCTTCGGCTCCTGCTTCACGAATGACACTGGCAACTCTCCTGTCTTGCTCCCCCGCACCCAATACTGCTTCCGAAACTTCACCTTTTCTTTCCATGTGCAGATGGTCATCCCCACGCCCCAAATCAAGTCCGTGCCTAGCAACACATCAAAGTCTTCTGAGTCAGAGATCCCACACTGCAGCCTTATGCTGGTCTGCTCCTCCCTCCCTGGCATCAGGACGATCTCCACTAGATTCTTGGTGCACGGCAACCACTTAGGTTCACCCCCTTCTGCTGTCATGACCAGCATTCCCCTCTTTATGTGCTGCCCTGGCCCTGTCAACCCCAGCTTCTCTGCGAGCCGCTTCCCCAACAGCACACTCTGTGGCCCCAACAGCACACTCTGTGGCCCCAACAGCACACCCTGTGCCCCCGTGTCTAAGATTGCGGTTCTTGCCACTTCCCCTCCTACTGCCACTGTCCCTGCTCCTGCCATCAGCACTGTCGCCTGACTGGCTAGCCGCTCCTTGGGATGCCTGGCTGGTTCCTCCTCCCCACAGTCCTCCTCTGGTTCCCGCCTTGGCCTGCCCTTCTCCTTGACTATGTGTTCCTTTCTCCCATCTTTGCCCCCGCTGCGCAGGCCCAACTCCTCTCGGCTGCGTAGCACCATAAAATTGTATTCCGGCTCTGGCTCCTCTATCACCTCTGCTTCGTCATCCTCCTCTCGTGCATATAACCCTGCCTCCTTCTCCTTCTTCCCTCCTAATGCCTGCAGCTGTGCCTGCAATCTCCCTATCTGGCTCTCAATCTCCTCTGGCGTCCTCTTCGGCCCTCCCGTACGTTGGTAGCAGTCCTTCCCCTTGTGCCCCCGCCTCCCGCAAACCTCGCAGGTTGGCGCATCCGGGCAGTCCTTGCGCCTGTGTCCCGGCTTCCCACACGTGTCGCAATTCCTGCAGTTCCTCGCCAAGTGCCCTGGTTGCTTGCATCTGTGGCAGGTGCGTGTCTCAGCCCCTCTCTCCTGCCGACTCTCCTCCCTTCCTCCTGTCTCATGTATCATTGCTGCAGCCCACGCGGGATTCCTCTTCTCTGTTGGCCTCGGCAGGTACACCTCATACTTCCTCTGCGCCAGCTCCACTCTCTCCGCCAGCTCCACTCTCTCCGCCAGCTCCACTCTCTCCGCCAGCTCCACTCTCTCCGCCAGCTCCACTCTCTCCGCCAGCTCCACTCTCTCCGCCAGCTCCACTCTCTCCGCCAGCTCCACTCTCTCCGCCAGCTCCACTCTCTCCGCCAGCTCCACTCTCTCCGCCAGCTCCACTCTCTCCGCCAGCTCCACTCTCTCCGCCAGCTCCACTCTCTCCGCCAGCTCCACTCTCTCCGCCAGCTCCACTCTCTCCGCCAGCTCCACTCTCTCCGCCAGCTCCACTCTCTCCGCCAGCTCCACTCTCTCCGCCAGCTCCACTCTCTCCGCCAGCTCCACTCTCTCCGCCAGCTCCACTCTCTCCGCCAGCTCCACTCTCTCCGCCAGCTCCACTCTCTCCGCCAGCTCCACTCTCTCCGCCAGCTCCACTCTCTCCGCCAGCTCCACTCTCTCCGCCAGCTCCACTCTCTCCGCCAGCTCCACTCTCTCCGCCAGCTCCACTCTCTCCGCCAGCTCCACTCTCTCCGCCAGCTCCACTCTCTCCGCCAGCTCCACTCTCTCCGCCAGCTCCACTCTCTCCGCCAGCTCCACTCTCTCCGCCAGCTCCACTCTCTCCGCCAGCTCCACTCTCTCCGCCAGCTCCACTCTCTCCGCCAGCTCCACTCTCTCCGCCAGCTCCACTCTCTCCGCCAGCTCCACTCTCTCCGCCAGCTCCACTCTCTCCGCCAGCTCCACTCTCTCCGCCAGCTCCACTCTCTCCGCCAGCTCCACTCTCTCCGCCAGCTCCACTCTCTCCGCCAGCTCCACTCTCTCCGCCAGCTCCACTCTCTCCGCCAGCTCAAATACTTCTTCCGGCGTTGCGTCAGCTCCTAATTCGTAGACCCTCATCCTCAGTCCTCCTGCCAGCCCTTTATCCAACCCATTCAAGAACTTGCTAATGATCATGCTGTGGTCCGTGCACACCACGTCCTCCGCCAGATTCATCAATCTCCCATAGTACGTCAGTAACGACTCCTCATCCTTCCGTTTAAACTCCTGGAACTCCTTGATACGCGCGGCTGTATGCCCGGGAAACTGCTTCCTTAGCCGCTCCAAAAACAGCATGGTTGGATCCTCGCCGTCCTCTTCTGCCCTCCTCAGCCACTCCCTAATCTTCATGCGGTATAATGTCTCTGCTTCTCCCCCTAGCGTGTGTGGCAAGCTTAGGAAAAAGTCAATGGGGTCCATCCCACTCCTGTCACATCTGTATTTGACATTGCTTATCTGCATCAAGTAATTCTTGAGGCTTGGACCCGTGCTTTCGCTCCCTGTGAAGCGTACCGGCACCTCCACTCTTGGTGGTGCTGCCGTGCCCCACCTGCCTGTCTCCCAGTTTCCTGAGTCTCCTTGCTCTACAGGTGTGCCTCTTCTCTGCTTCCCTCCTTCTCCCTTGCTCCCCGTGCTGGTCCCGTACAGCACTCGCTCCAACCCTTCGCGCGCCGCTCTTGCTCCAGCCGATTCTTCTCTGTATTGCCTCCTTGGCCCTGTAGGACTGGGGCTCCTCCTCCTGTCCTTCTCAAGGTTTTCTCTGCGCCCCTCCGTCCATATCCTTTCCCTCCCCGCGGGCGAACGCCCCTGGTGCCGCCCTTCTTGCTCTCTCCTCACCCATCTCTTCTCTTCCGCCCTCGAACAATACTGTGACTGCCGGCCCCCATCCCTGCCCCTTCCTTCCTCGGCATACCTCCGCTCTTGCTCAGGTGGGCTTCTCTGGCGTCGCCCCACATACTCTTCCCGTCCGTGCTGTCGCTGTGGACTCGGCCTCCTCCCTTCACCCATCGCCATGCGTCGCTGGCGGTTGTACCCTAGCGTTGGTTCCGGCGAACGAAATGCACCTGGTGCCGCCTCTTGATCTCTTCCGCCCTCCGCCCGCGCCTTGTACTGCTGTCCAGCACCTTGGACCCTCCCTCGCGGCGCACCTCCGCCTCGCCGCCTCATAGGTGAGCCTTCTTCCGTCTCGCCTCCCTCGTAATACTCCTGCATCTTCTTTCCTTGGCTCTGCTCCTGCTCTCTCTTTCCGGCGTCCCCCTGTTTCCCCTCTCTCCGAGCAGCTGGGAAATCTCCTTCGTCAACATTGCTGCGCCTCTCGCCGCCCCGCGCAGTGGGAGAAGCTTCGTCGTCGGCGTTGACGCGCCTCCCGCCGCCCCGCGCGGTGGGGGAACCTTCGTCGTTGACATTGCTGCGCCTTCCGCCGCCCCGCGCAGTGGGGAAAACCTCGTCGTCGGCGCTGATGCGCCTCCCGCCGCCCCGTGCGGTGGGGGAACCTTCGTCATCGGGGTTGACACGCCTTCCGCCGCCCCGCGCAGTGGGGGAACCTTCGTCGTCGGCGTTGACATGCCTTCCGCCGCCCCGCGCAGTGGGGGAACCTTCGTCGTTGGCGTTGACATGCCTTCCGCCGCCCCGTGCAAGCAGGGTATCATCTCGTCCTTCCTCCTCATCCTGCTCGCCCGCCGGATCCACGTCCATGTCTTCGGCTTGGCGCCTTCCGTCCCCTCCGTGCTGGCCTCCGGCCAGGTTCCACGGGTTGCTCGTTGTGGGACGCCTCCAAGGCTCCGATCTGACGCTTACATCCTCCCTGCTTCCTTCTCGTCGCCCGCCCGTTGGCGTCAACGGATCCGCGCGATACGCTGCCCGACGGGACGAGCGCGTCGGCGATCTCCCACGCTCCCTGGAGCGCCTCATCCGCGACGGAGATCGCTCCCGCCGCGCGTACGTCCGCTGCATGTGCAGATCGTGGCGATCCATGTCGCCGGCCAACTTCTCTCGCTTTGTGAGAGAATCGTGCTCCCACCCAATGGCTGCCCACAGTGGCTTAGAGCTACCTAGCTGGAGTTAGCTTAAACCGGCAACTACAATCCACTCTATGAGGCAAACAAAGCGAGAGAACAGGCTCAATTGGCTAGGCTAGGCTACTTTATTCCCACTCTGAGTTTTGGCAATTGCCATCACCTTGAGTTGGGTTCGGGTCGCCTTGTGCCCTCACTGGTCAATGCAGATTTCCTGTCCCTCGAGGCGCCTTGTCACTTTTCCCAATGCCCCCAATTCCCCATGCCATCAACTTCGCGTCATTCCCCTGGCCCAAGGAATCCCCTACACCCGAGTGGCATAACCCCACCCTACACCCTTCTACACCCATTCTAGCAAGCAACAGAATATATTGTTCTTTACCACTATATTTGTTGACAGTTTCAAGGCTCCACAGTTCTTGCCGTTGCCCACGAGCACATGAAGCTGTTTTTCGTTAATCTCAGCCCTGCCTCAGTTTCCCGGTCAGCCACAGTTTCAACTGCATCAGCACCTCCTCCTCTTATTCCCGAATCATGTTCTGCCACTTCTTCTCTGCTTTGGCATCGGCGCTTTGGACATCTCAACGGACACAGCTTGAAGCAGCTTCGTTCAAAACAGATGGTCAGCGGCCTCAGCCTCAACGGCTCCCTGCCTTCCACCTGCATTTCGTGCCTTCGTGGGAAGCAGACTCGCCCGCCCTTTCCAGACTCCACCTCGTCCAGCTCAGCCCCGCTTGACCTTGTGCACACTGACGTCGCTGGACCGTTTCCCATCGGCAGCACATTTGGCGGCGCCACCTATCTCCTCACATTCATTGACGAATATAGCCGCTATACCACCGTCTACCTTTTCAAATCCCGCTCTGAAGTCTTTAGCACATTTCAGCGCTATCTCGCAACAGCCGAAAGCCATTGCGCGACAAATCTCAAGGTCTTGCACTCCGATGGCGCCCCGGAATATCTTTCCGACGCTTTTCATGCTTTCCTCGATTCGCGTGGCATCACCCGGCGAGTCTCTACACCATACACTCCGCAACAAAATGGCGTCGCTGAGCGGATGAATCGCACCATCCTTGACATGGTGCGGTGCATGTTACATGACAGCGGTCTTCCTCGTGGGTGGTGGGGGGAAGCAGCCCTTACTGCTGCCTATATTCGCAATCACTCTCCTTCCCGGTCACTCCCTCGTGATGTCACGCCTATGGAATTATGGACAGGTCAGCGGCCGGACGTCACCCATTTCCGCGTGTTTGGCTGCCCTGTCTCCGTGCTTCTACCTACTCTTTATCGAGAATCCAAGTTACATGACCGCAGTGCTCCCGGCATCTTCCTCGGCTATGGTCTTCTTGATGGTTACAAAGCATATCGTGCTTATATTCCCTCCATCCGCCGGGTTGTCTACTCTTGAGACGTCACCTTCCTTGAGACATACCCCTCACCTCCTCCTTGCCCACCAACACCTCTACCATCACCCCCTGTTCCCGCACCTGTCACTTTATCACTTCACCCGCCTTCCCAACCTACCTCCTCACCAGACCCTATCATTCCTCCTCCGCTTCCTGCGACACACACAGAAACCTCTCCCTCAACTACTCCAGCTGCACCTCTCTTTCCCACGCTCCCCACCCCTCCCTTCCAGCCTTTCACCCTTCCCACTTCCCTTCAGACGCTAGCCTCCACACCCGATTCCTCACCTCTCCTGTTTCCTCCTCTTTCGAACCCCACTGCCCAAGACTTTCACCTCACCTTCTCTGACCCCTCTGCTCACAACATCCTTGATGAAGATCGCGATTCCGCCCACTATTTTCACGACTTTGCCCACATTGCTCTTCATTCCCACTACGAGCCACCTACCATTACTGCTGCCCGCTCTTGCCCCGCTGCTCCCCAGTGGCTTGCTGCTGCTGACGCTGAAATCACTGCACTCCTAGCCAACCGCACTTACAGCATCGTGCCCAAACCACCCAACTGCATTCCTATCCCTTGCAAATGGGTTTTCAAGGTCAAAGAGAACCCGGATGGGTCTATCGAGCGCTATAAAGCCCGTTTGGTCATTAAAGGCTTTAAGCAACGCGAGGGCACTACACTGAGACATTTGCACCCACCATTCGCTTTGCTACGCTTCGCTTGCTCCTCACCCTTGCTGCTGCCCTTGATCTTGAGATGCATCAACTCGACATCTCCAATGCCTTTCTCAACGGCGACCTTGACGAGATTATTTACATGACCCAACCACCCGGTTTTGAACTCCCTTCTGCCAATGGCGCTCCTCAAGTTTGCCTACTGCACAAGCCCTTGTACGTCCTCAAGCAAGCGCCTCGGTGTTGGTACAAAAAACTGAAATCGGAGCTTCTCACCTTTGGCCTTCACACCTCCGATGCCGACCCTGGACTTTTCATTGCAGCACCCTCCTCCCCTCTTCTTCCCCATCCTTCCCACTTCTTCCTTGTACTAGTCTATGTCGATGATCTCATCGTCCTTTCCACCACCATCACTCCACTTACCACCTTCAAGACTTCTCTTGCCACCCGCTTCAAACTTCGTGACCTTGGCCCATTAACTTATTATCTCGGCCTCCACTTAGACCGCGACCGCTCTTCTTGCACCCTCCTCATCCACCAATCCAAATTTATTACTGCCCTCCTCTCTACCTTCAATCTCAGCCATGCCAACCCCAGCCACACCCCCATGGACTCTAAGCTCCTCCTTCCAACACGCTCCTTATCGCCACCATCTGAACCCTTTCCATATCCCTCTTTGGTCGGCTCTCTCATGTACGCAATGGTTGCCACACGCCCTGACATAGCCCATTCTACTGGACTCCTTTCGCGTCACCTCCATTCTTGGTCCGATCCACATTGGCTGGCTGCTAGGCGTGTTCTCCGTTACCTCGAAGGGACTTCTTCCCATGGGCTGCTACTTGGTGGCAATCCCGCTTCCCTCCTGCTGATCGGATATTGTGATGCCTCATGGGCTTCCGACAGTGAGGATCGTCGTTCCCTCACTGCATACCTGTTCTTTCTTGGCCCTTCTCTGATTTCGTGGCAATCCAAGCGGCAATGTGTAGTTGCAACATCCACTTGCGAAGCTGAATACTATGCGCTCGGTGCGGCAACCCACGAAGCCCTTTGGCTCCGCACTCTCCTCTGCTCTCTCGGCCTTCCCCCCACTGGTCCCACCCCGCTGCTTTGTGACAACACTAGCGCCATTGTCTTGGCAAAGGACGCTGGTGTTTTCCATGCCCGTGCCAGGCACATTGACATCCGCCACCATTTCCTCCGTGACCATGTTGACAAAGGGCATATCTCGCTGCATTATATCCCTACCCGTGATAACCTTGCTGATTTGAGGACCAAGCCTCTCCCTCGTGACACGCTGCAGCGTCTCCAGTCCTGCATCGGCCTTCGCCCTGCTACTTCTCCTTTAACCTCTCCCTCGGTGTCACCCTAAGGGGGGGTGTTGTTGGGTACTTATTTTCCTTTAAATTTGCTGCAGGTTTTGTTCACTAGTTTATTTAAAGTTTGTACGTATTTGTTTACATTATAATAGTGTAGACAATAGGGGTTGGGTTATATTAGTTATAGGGTGCCCCCTGAGTGACTTTATCAAGTGCTAGGCACCCCAAATTCGGCTTTGGGGCACCTCAGCACGTTTCCCAATCTTGGGGACGCGGCTCCAGCCTGGACCCACGAATTTCAACATTGGAAACGCGGTTCCAACTTGGAATTCGCGTTTCCAATTCGTGGAATCGCGGTTCCACTGTAGGGGGCGCTTCCATGCCCACTTTGAGGGTCCCTCACGTCCCCATCTTGACTGTGGGCGACTTGAGCACCCATTTGGCCACCCCAAGTCCCTTGGGTACCAAATTCCTCACTTGGACCAGCCCAAGTCGCCTCCAAGCTAGCTCTCCTCATTTTCTGCCTATTTTAGCCTTTGTTTTGCTTGTATTCATCACTTCAGTTGATTTACTGCTTCTAGAACCTTTCAGCATTTCAGAACCAGCCTCTCCTTGTGCACATTGTGCACATTAGGTCTGTTTTTCTACAGGGAGATCAGGACAGAGCACTATAGTGAGAGGAGAAAGAAGAGACGAGGGGAAGCGATGAGGTGCAGGGAAGCAACTAGATGGTGCAGCATGCAAGTGCAGCATGGAAGGAACTCACAGGTGTTCGAGGTTGGAGAGGTGGGAGAAGGTGGAGGGAATGGGTCCAGATACTTGAGTGGCCGTGAGGTCACTGGCACCATGTTCACCACAACATACCGTCCCACACCATGTCGCACCGTTCCACACCATGATGCACCATGCCACACCGTGCCACACCATACAAAACCACACCAAAACACCGCGCCATGCACATAAAAGAAGAAAGGGAGACACTGTAAGCCCCATGGAACAGCTCCCGAAAGGGAGCTGTAAGCCCCATGGAACAGCTCCCAATGCATTGACAGAATGGAAGGCGATGCAGCAAGGAGGCGGCAGATGAGATACGAGAGGCATGGATGGGTGTGAGGCTGTGAGCACGGGGAGGGATTAGAGGAGGAATCAGGCAGCGGCAACCCTCAGGCACATGTGCCACGCGGGGCACCCCCACTCTTGCTGTGGGCACTCTAGGGTATGTGCCAGGTTACTGCAGAGATAAGCCAGGTGGCGCCTCGACATGTGGGGGCGCACAGAGGTGG